CGTGAACTCCCAGCCTTTAAATAGCTTTAAATCCTTAAGGTATTATTACGTTTGGATGGTTTTCTTTTTAAATATTACTAAAAGGGGGAGATGGTAGCTAGTAGCTGAGATACATTTAATGAATGAGGTCCATGCTTTAAAACTAGGTGTTTTCTACTAAATTATACGCTTTTTTAAAGAGTTAAATACTAAGCCGTTATTCCTTATACCCTCCATAATCCCAGCCTCGTCCATATTATACCTATTAGCAAGTTTAATAGCTTGGACAATAAGATCGGTTAAACGCTGGAATTAAATAGTAATTACCTTAAACGTAGCACCATTAATACGCTAGGAATCAATTAAACGGTTACGCTTAGTCTTAATCTCTAAATGCCTCTTAATAAAGTTATTAACCCATAACTTTCCTAGCTTCTCCTTTTTATCTATGATGCTAAGTACGCGGTTACCGAATTCGCGGATTTAAACGTACGTAATAGGAAGGCTAAAAGCTTCTTAGGCTATAACCTAAGTGGCTAAGTGTTTCTCCTAAGTTAGAGAAAAACGTTATTAGCTTTAAGCAGCTATCTAGTGTGGTTCAGAGCCATTGATACGGTCCTGGAAGGTGGTTCTAGGGATACCCTAATCAAGGGCGGCCCGGCGGATAGATTAACCCCCAGCGATAGCATAGAGGGCTTGATTAAGGTCGTAATCGGTATATCGAGCCATTATTATATAAACAAACGATTCTAAAAATTTGGTAGTAATCGGAATAAAATTGGTGGAGGAGTTGTACGTTGAAATGGCGGTGTAAGTATGCGAGGTGGCCGGAATGGGTATACCAGACGTTATCCAATTTGACGGTACTGAGGAGTTGTGGCTATGGCATCACCTTGAGCGTTACTGAAGACTTTACACCTCAGTCTCATTGATCTCATACAAATCTTGCCAAAACATCAGATCATTCACCTTCTCCTCAGGAAGCCCCAAAGTAACGTACGCCCTTCGATGGGCGCCCCGACATTTAGTGTGAACTTTTGCTGCCGTCTTTCGTCCGAAATATCCAGCCATCTCCCAGTCAAACAGCCCAACTATTCTATTATTGTCAACAACGGTATTGCCTTGGTTAAAGTCATTGTGCATAAAACTCAAATCGATATCTTTATTCTTGTCAGAGAAGAGGATATCATTCTCCAATTCGCTGATGCCTCTATGCTTGACAGGGTCAGGATCCGGGACGATGTAGCGACGAGCGGTGCAACTGGCGGGCGGCTGCAGTTGTTGCATCTGTCGCAGGATCTCGCGGGCTTGCTGCTTGAAGGACGCCTTTTGCGTTTGCGAGAGATACTGCCACGCGACGGCGAGGACGACACCAGAAATCCTCTCTTGAACAAGCACGGGAAGGCCGTTAATCTATACCTTGTTGGTTAGCTTCTAGGAGGACCCTGGTCAGAGCATTGGATTCGCACCTTGCCAGCAAAATAAATGGTTGGAACTCGGACATCTCCAAGTGCGCCCCTGACCAAATCTATTGCCTGGACCTCATTCGCATCGACGTACGTGCCATCGAGCTGCGTCTGGCTGTACAATGGGTTGAGGTGGCTTGATTTGACAATGACCCCTCCAAGGGCAAATACATCTCTGCCATCGTCTGGATTTTCATAGATCCTGATGGAGGCATCGCAGAGGGCAAGGACCGATTCCCAGTACTTCAGAGACTCAGCTGTGGTGGACATAAAATGCTTCGGGTCAGGCTGGAAGTCATCTGGCTTGGGGCGGTAGCGACCGTACAAAGGTTCACGCCTGTACCTATCCGTGTTCGGAATTTTGTCTGGATCAGCGTTGTATGGATCGAGAACGGCATTTTCGACAGAGGGCGTAGACATTGTAGTCAAAACAGGCAAGATGAATGCTCGAGAAAGTATAGGCACGCACAGAGAAAGGAAACCTATTGAATCTGGAGCACCGATGAAAGAACAGAAGGTGAGGAAATGGTTTGGATGTGATCAAAGTCAGACGCGGTAAGACCCTACAGCCCCTCATCTCAGCCTACATACAGTCAACCCAATCGGGTGGGAATGCATGTTGCGTCCGAGACGTCTTGACGTGACCTTGCTTAGTTTCATGAGCTGTACACTATGGACGCGTCTTCAGTGGTTCGGAGGGTCAGGCTCACGCCTAGTAATTCGACTTCGTAGGACAGGTAGTGGGGCGGGGAACCCGGATGTGCCCTAGGCTAGGTGTGATTATGAAGTAGCTTGGCACTCAAGGCCTTGGAGGAAGTGTGTGTGCGCATGATTATCCACGCACGAGTGCGGCGGGCACGTGCATAGTGAATGGAAATATTCTATATATGCAGCGAATATTCTATATATGCAGCGTATCACAGGCACTCGTTTGTGAGAGAACGCGCCAATACCGCTGTCTCCGAGTCGCAGTGCAGCAAGGCGGTGTGAGGTTACACGGTTTGGAAACTGATGCTTCAAGAGCTGCATGGTCAACAGAAGACTCGAGAATGTAACCTGGAGTTATGGGTTGCGACCTTTCTCGATAAGGCTATGGTAGTATACGGAGATCGCTCTTGCATATCAATAAATTGGCATAGAATCGGAATGTCCTGACGGGTATAACGTACATACACACGGGGCGTCAGTGGCGCCTGGCAATGAAATCTCGTAGAGGCAATTACTTATCTTTAACCGCCGACAAGTGACGCCACCACGACGCCCGGTCATGGTGCTGTCTTTTCTTCCGCGGACCCATTATTGGTATAGTCGTACTATGTGTCCCGTCTTCTATCTGTGCTGTATCTGTTGGTGATGAGGTGAACAACTTGATTGGATCTGATCGCTTTGCTCAGCTCTGGAGACCACAGCAGGGTAGTTACATGTTGGTAAACGGCGTCTTCAGTTTATTGACCAAATCGCTCCGACATAAATACTCTCCTCACTCCCGTCTTCCGGATGTCAAGTCTGCCCAGCATCCACAACAATCATCATCCACAATCCTACACACAACTTCTTGACCACTTTAACAATACTAATTCTTGATAACATCACTCAACCAATCATACAATATGGCCAGCCGCTGCTCTGTCTGTGAGGAGTGGATCAAGACCACCGGTAGCACCCACGAATGCTCAGGCAAGAAGCGTTCCCTCAACGAGGAGGACTTTGCTCCTCAGCTCGTTGATACCTCCAAGTAAACGCTTGGCTTCCGCCAGAAGGTGCACAAACAACTCTGCCATTTTTAATACGTATCCACCCATCGTACTGACGTGTCAATGCATCATGCACAGGTCGCTGTCGTCCACACGCCGAAGATCCCCGAACGCATCTCGACACGCCTTGGACATTGAGAAGCCGCTGCGATTGGGGGGAAAGCAGCCCCAGCGGCCATTGGAACACCGGATATCGATTTCTTTCCGTCTGTCCTTTATCTACAACAATGTGCTACGTTTAGTGGCTTTGAGTGCATTCTCTGGTGATGTGGTGTCGTTGGTGGTAGTAGTCAGTCAGTTACATAGCACAGAAAATGAGACCCGACTCGTTAGCAGTCTCGCCACTCTGGTGTAGATTTTGCCTAACTGTGTGCAGAAATATGTGCAAGCAGTAACTAAGTCTAAGATGGGATACGTCATGACATAAGTAGGTATCCAGGTACCTAGGTATATAACATGGCGGGCTTTGAAAGAAAATATTGATCAAGGGCCATAGTCGGTGGCATATGAGTGGCATGGTCGGCATAACGACATGGGGAATGTGAACAGTTACGGGCATTATGGGCCGAAGCCTTGGTTGTCTTGCTATCCCAAATCCTTGTTTTGCGAATCCAGCTCCCCAGGTTAGCCAAAGTGCTCTCACGATAGCAAGCCGAGACCATTTCTGCACGCCAACTCATGCTCCCTCAACGTGGCGGTCAAATATCGAGATGCAGGTGTGTCAGTTACATTTGATAGGATTGGTCGGACTGTCGTGTCGAGTGCATTGTTTCCAATTGTGTGGGCGCACAGTAGCTGCGTCCAGTCGGGCTCGACTGCAGCAATGATTGGAAGCCTCGTGGAGGTAGCATTCGCTCAACAGCACGGAACTAATTGGCGACCAAACGCCTAGTGATGCCGTATCTTGTCTGGCGAGGATCATTTAACTTGCATAGTCGTGTCTGTGGTCGTCTCTATGGCCATACTGTCTTCACCGATAACGACATGCGGGAGGTTGACAGCTTGATTCGATCTGATGATTTTGCTCGGCTATGTTTCCTATAACGGGTTATGGAACAGCCTCCGCGTTCTAGCATAAATACCTCCATTGCTCGGGTCGTTCAGATTCCGAGTCTCTCCTTCACAGCAACTATCACAAGCAAGCCTTCCCACATCAATCACATTGAACAATACTGCATCCTCACTCAATATTACCCAACGCTTACTCCATCTTTTGACATGCTTGAAGTATGCGTATTCTGTCAGGTGACTATCACTGTCACCAACCACAAGTGTAAGGAGCAGCAGGAGGCATAGGAGCAGGAAGGCCAATCCTCATCATAAGGACATCCCGTGACCCTCCTTGACAGCTGGCATGCGAGCATCGGCTGGCTTCTGTATTTTCCCACCGCATTAACTCATAGCCAACGCAGCAAAATGGCTTGCCGTTACCTATCTTAGCCTCGAAGATGACGGAAGACACGTCGATACATTGATAGGATACTGCGCTGAGACTGTCAGATGCGGCCATTACATATGATTGGCGGGGGAGCAGTTGGTTATCTTCAACGGGGGCGTCGGGTGTCTTTCCGTCTATCTGTCTGTCGGTCATGACACTGTCTGTTTGTTAGTCATTGTCTCCTACTACGTCGTACACTTGGTGACACCGAGCAAGTTACAGCATAGTGCAAAATATAAGACTCGAGCGACTCATCAGCACTCTCGTCACGCCTGATACGCAGGGTGCATTCTTGTTCCTATTGCTAGTTAGCAAAATGAAAGTAAAGAACTTGATCGAATTAAACAAAAAGGAAAGTTATCATGCCTCCACACGGGATTGAACCGTGGACCTCGTCATGCCGTAATGCTTGAATTGGATTCGATACGAGTGACGCGCTCTACCACTGAGCTATAAAGGCTATTTACTTAAATGGTGATGTAGTTGCTCGATTAGTGCCCCCATAGCTCGGCGTGCAAGGTTGGAGGGTGAGATGTACATCGTTGCCGGCAAAGCACCCCCCGGCACTGACGGCAGCATTGTTATTTGCGAGGTAGCACAGCCACCAATTCTTCCACGAATGCTCCGCAAAGCAACTTCTCGGCCGGCGTTCGGACTTTCTGCATACGACCCAGCACCGACGGGCCACGTGAGCATCGTATTCTCGGATCTCGGATACACAACTAGTGCCCACTGGGAGGACGCGTGAGAAAGCGGGGTGGATTGTGGAATATTTACACAGAATCACAGATTCAACCTCAACTTTCAACAGTCATCATCAACCATGGTTCACTTTGCCACCGACACCGAATCAATTGACCCGGTCGAGAACAAGAGGCGGATGCTCAACGGCGAGCTCCATTATGCCTTCACCCCCGACCTCGGTGCCGACCGCGCCCGATGCAAGGCAGCTACCCTTGAATATGCCACCCATGCCATCTCTGGTGTAGCGTCGCGAAGGAAGATGCTCGAGTTGTGGAAAAAGTATGTATATGTATATGTATATGTATATATATATATATCCCCCTACCCTTCAAACAGACATACACACAACTGACACGACAACAACAGCGTAACACAAGACGACACACCGCTGCCCCCTTCCGCCGCCACGCCAGAGGAGGACGACGCGCTCCTGGCCGACTACGCCTGGGTGGACGGCCCCATCAAGATGGACTACGGCTACAACGTCAAGATCGGCCAAGGCGCCTTCATCAACAGCTACAGCACCTGGATCGACACCTGCCCCATCACGGTCGGCGCCCGCACCCTCGTCGGCCCCAACTGTTCCTTCTACAGCGGCGGCCATCCGCTTGACCCTTTCCTCCGCAACGGCTTCAGGGGCCCGGAATTTGGAAAGCCCATCGTCATCGGAGAGGACTGCTGGATTGGCGGCGGGACCACCATCGTGCCTGGAGTGACCATTGGTCGGGGCGCTACTATTGGTGCCGGCAGTGTCGTGACAAAGGACATTCCCGACTTTGTCGTCGCTGTGGGCAATCCGGCGAGGGTGATCAAAAAGATTGACGTTGTCGAGCCCAAGGAGGTGGTGACGGCAGAGCACGAGTCATGACGGCAAAAGCAAACGGCTGGGCGACCCCGGAATCGAACCGTCCTGGCCACTGGACTGGTCACCCTTGGTAGAGGATGGGTGGATATGATGCTTTAATTATGGGGTGGATTGGCGGAGGTGGAAATGTTGCTGAGAGCTTGCAGTAGAACAAAGATAAAGTCTGACCTGGTGAACTAAGTCGCAAAATCGAGAAGATGATGCTTGACATACTTCCCGTACTTTCTGTTAGTACTGCTTAAGGCTTTGGTGTAAATACCATTGAAAGCATAGCTTCTAGTATCTCCAATACTTTTAGCTCCAATATCCAAGTTATTGACTTCAACACCGCACTATCCTCAGCCGCACCTGGGCATCGGCACTGGGCCAGGCGCAGCACAGAATGGCGGCCTCATACTCATGGGTAGGGTGAAAGTGGGACCTACAAAGAAGTAAAAGTCGCACTTGACAGCTAAATCTCCCCCAACCCCTCCAATCACCCAGCAACCAAATCCCAGCCAAAAATGCCGTCCACCACCACAATAGACCTCCCCCCAACCTCCCACACCGCCTCCCTCCGCGCCACTCTACACGACCGCATCGTCGGCACCATCATCGCCTCCGCCCTCGGCGACGCCATCGGCCTCTACACCGAGTTCCTCTCGGCCGCACAAGCCGCCGAAGCCTACCCCTCCCGCGCCTTCACCCTCGCCACCCACCACAATGACAATGACAATGGCGGCGCGACACCCTTCAAGCTGGACCTCCACCGCGCCGTCAAAGACCCAGGCCACTGGACCGACGACACCGACCACGCCCTGCTGCTCCTCCTCGGCTACCTGCACACCGCATCCACCAATCATGATACAGCAAACCCCCTCCCCACCGCAGTCGACTTTGCTGCCCGCCTGCGCATCTGGGTGCAGCAGGGCCTGCGCACGCTCGAGACGATGCCGTTGGGCCTGGGCAGGCTCGTCGGCACGGTAGTCGCCACCAAGGGCTTTGCGGAGGACCCGGCGAAAGTGGCGCGTGATGCTTGGAGAAGTACTGGGCGGAGGGTGGCGCCGAATGGGAGTCTGATGCGCACGCATCCGCTGGGGCTGATGGCGGTGTTTCTGGGGGAGCCCGAGGCGTTTGCGCTGGCGGCGGAAGTGGGACGGGCGACGCATGCGGATCCGAGGTGTGTTGTTGCTTGTGTGGTCGGTACCGGGCTGGTGAGGGGACTGGTTAGGGGGGAGGTGGTGGGCGAGGGCGATGTCGATGGGTTGGTTGAGAGGGCGATGGGCTGGTTTGTGGTTGATTTGAAGGGACGGGAGCAGGAGGAGGGGGTATGGAGGGAGATGGGAAGTGGGAGGGAGGAGAGGAGGAGCTGTGGAGGCATGTTAGGCCTGAGGGGGAGGACGGGCTGGGAGAGTTGAAGCTGGACGAGGCGCAGGCGATTGGGTATGTGTACAAGGCACTTGGGGCGGGGGTGGTGCTTTTGAGGATGGCGATGAGGAGGATGGAGGAGGGTGGGGGAGGTTTGTTGGTCAAGGGGAGATTGTTTGAGGCGCTGATTACGGACTTGATCATGCGAGGGGGTGATGCTGATACTAATGCGTGTTTTGCGGGAGCGCTGCTGGGGGCGTATCTGGGATATGGAGCGCTGCCGGACCATTGGAAGCATGGGCTGCTGCACGGGGAGTGGCTGATTGGCAAGGCAGAGGCGTTGTGCAAGGTTCTTGAGGTTCTAGATGGGGAGTATGATGGAAAACAGGATGCGGATACGCTACCTGATGGGGGAAAGGGGCTCATTGGCCAGCAGGAGATGGAGGCAAAGTGGATGGTGCTGCAGCAGACCGCGTTCAAGAAGATGGACGAGGCAAAGAAGAGTGAAGAGGCTGAAAAGCGAGGGTCGGGGTCGAGGTGGTCAGTATCGCTGCCGTGGAGAGACAGGGGTAAAAGGGGTCGGTGATGTCGAGCTGAAGAAAATGGACTCGTTTATGGAAACTTCTGCAATAGGTTATTCAGCCACTGAAATCCTGGGGTGCTTCTGTCCTTTTACGGGCCACTGTCCAGGGCCTCTTGAGGTTGTCTTAAGTAAGTAAATCCTTCTAGTAAATTACCAAAGTATATGGAATACCAGGCTGGCATCGTTTCTTTATATCATCTAGAAATTACCTGTCAAGTCCATGGTCACCATTCGCAGGCAGCACCGTCTTCTTTCAGCAAAGCCATATGCACTCATCACGTGCCCCATGGTGGTTACCTACCTACCCTGTCTGCGGCTGAGGTGAAGGGTTTGGCCACCTCAATCCAAGCACCGTTAGGCAGCACACTTCAGCCCCAACACCTCCGCACAGCGACGACACAACTGAACATTACAAAATTTTCGGGTCTCGTACATCTCAACGCTGGTCAAAATGCCGCTCAAAGACTGGTTCAGTCGTCTACACTTTCCGACAAGACCTGCAAGTGAGCCTGCAAAGGCCAGCTCAACCTCAACAGTGCCCTCGATAGCGCCCGACGCCGACATGTTGGCTAAGATATATGCCGTGGGAGACAGCACAATCGAAGACACCTTCCGTAACGAGCTCGCCATCATCTCATCTCCCGATGGTGAACTACTCAGTACACCAAATTTAAGTCTTCTGCCCTCCAAAGGGAAACGGTCGGCCAATCTGTTCCTTACGGCGCTGTCCATGATTAGCCCGCACAGTATCATAGAGCCCCATTGTATCCCACCATGTAGGTCACTCATCCCCTACTGCGTTCATTCATGAAGAGCAGGCCCTGACAAGTCGTCCCAATCTGATCCAGGGACCGCACTCATCCCCGTCCTGACGCGGTGTATAACCGATTCGTCATTCGACACGATACAGCACGCAGACGCATACATGAAATCAGTATCCGGCATCTCAGCTTTTGAAGACCCGCAAATAGGTCAACTGCTAGTAGCTGTCGCCTTGAGACACAGGAACCTAACACTGCTCCAACCCCTGTCCGCCGCGACACAACCGCCCAAACCCAACATATTCTACGACCCCCACCCCGGGAATCTACTGGATACACTAGACGACCAAATCTACGCCGCGAAAGCAAAGGCTATCCTCCAAACCAGCGGCTGGATCAAGCCCGAACCTGTCTCTGATCCTCCATCACCACCACCACCACCACCAACAGAACCCGCCCATCCCCCATCCCCAGACGCAGGTTTCGATCTTCTCTCCCGGTCCCTAACCCACCCACAAGAAGCCTCCCCCACCGCCGCCCTCGCCGCCCTCGAATCCCTCACCAACTCCAACTGGGACCCCCAATACGCCACAGGCCGCACCCTCGACCTCCTCGTCATCCACGGCACCGGCCTCATGCTCCTGCGCTTCCTTCCCCTGGTCTCACGCACCCTTTACGACGGCATCTCTCTCGCCCCACCCTACCTGGCCAGGCTACGCCTCGCTCGTCCCCAAGGCCGCAGCGCGGGCTGACCCTGAAGGGACAAACGTGCTGCAGGTGCTGGTCGAGGTGGGCGGCATGGATGTGAACACGACGTGCTGGTGGAAGGATAGTGGGGACAGTCATCCACAGAACTTTGACCCGCGGCTGCCGGATGGTGTTAGCTGCGCGGACGAGTCGCCGCTGCATGCGGCGGTGCAGTGTGGGAATCTGGAGAGCGTGAGGTTTTTGCTGGGAAAGGGGGCGAAGAGAGTGGTGGATGCGTATGGGAGGGATCAGATGCAGCGGGCAGTGTTGTTGGGGAGGGAGGAGGTAGTGAGGGAGCTGGAGAGGGGGGGGAGGGGGTGGAAGTGATGGGAGGGGGGTGGTCAGGGTAGCGTTGGGCATGGGGAATTTTGTGCTTTGGGTGAGAAGATGGGATCTGGCTGTTTGTGGCCTTG